AAGAATGATGGACTTAGAAATGGTTTGCCTCCTATTGCTGACATTGCATCACATCACTGTGACATTTATACATAAGTTCTACAAAATTAGTACAGGATTTTATCATAACAACCATCTGACGTTCAGTTTACTTTTTCTCAGCAGCTAACATAGCAGCAGCTAAAACTACTTGAAAGCCATTGTAACTAATTACTAAGTACTTCTCTTTTACACTGGGTTAGATAAAGACAGAATTCTGAACCTCAGGAAGAGCAAACTGGAATATTTATGCTCTGTACCTAAATGCCAAGCTCTGCCTTTATTTATACACCTACACTCAACCATTCTGTTTTAGACTGCAGTTCAATGTAAAACACTAGTAGGAAGGAGAGAAAGAAACAGCATATGCTGAATGAACACCTAATGCTGCAAGCAGCAATAGTTAAGAATAAATAACCACAGGCATCATCAAATAACCATGGCCTCATTACATAAAGCAAGTAGCTCCAAAAGAAGCCAATATGGCCCTATTTCCTACTGGTTGTGGGTTTAGATATTTTAATATCTAAAAATGAAGGAGATCACACTACAGTCTCCTATCAGGGGTCCCAACTGGTTTGCCTACTCTGCCCAACCACCAGTTTTCAGAAAATGTACACCTTTGTCTGATTTAGTTGGAATTAGCAAATAATTTCAGAAGTTCAGACAGAAAAAACTGGAAGACAAAACATACTTGCACAATTCTCGTTTCTTTGGAAAGCCTGATATAAACTCAGGGACATACTGGTACCATATAAAAGTCAAATTTTAAATCTTTCCAAAGACAGACAAATACAAGCTGCCAATTTGTTGTAACCTGACCACAAATTATTTTCTCATGTATTCTAGTGTTGTAACAGCTGACAAACTTTGTTATTTAAACAGTAAAAGCAAAAACATAGCAGTTTCAGTATAGAATCTATTAATTTTTAAAGCAACCTTCTAGGAAATATTAGTTGCCAACAGCAGTCTCAAAGGAGGTTGTTTTAATTAAAAATCCAACCTTTGTTATCATTTACTGTACACCCAGGACTTGGAGGAGCCTTTTGTTTTTCCCAACCTATGCTTAAAAAGTATTACAAGCAGATGACAGAAATAATGCAAACTATAAAAACTGCAAAGCCAATTTGCAGCTTCTAAGAAGTTTACAAAAAGGTAACATTACCCCATACTACCTTACAAAAGGAAAGAAAAAGACAGTAGCATGGATCTACTGGGTTTTTTTCCTTTGCAAGTAGAAGAGTGTAAGTCTTGCAAAAAAAAAACAAAAAAAAAAACCAACCCCAAAACAAACCCCAAACCAAAACCCACCCTAGAGAAAAATCTCAGATTTTTTACATGCTTTAACATGCTTAAAAATACTCCCTCTCCCACATGCCCCCCACCAACGGATGCAAATAGCCTAACAGATAGGTCCAGCAGTCAAATATCAGAATACACAAGAACACAGTTATGGCTCCTCAAAATTAACATGTAAATGGAACATACAACATGTATTAATGTTCTTAAATAGGTAAACATGAAATCACTGTTAATCAACATAGCGTACGTATTCTTTGTTCCTCCCTATGCTCAGGCATTCTTAGGGAGCATCCTCATGGAATGCCAGTTTAAATATTGGATCTCACACGCTCCACACAGCCACAACTCAATTCTGTTAAGCAGAATCTTTACTGTGTAACTGTGAATAGCACACAGCGGCCAATATAATTCAAAGCATGTGCTTAGGAACCACATTTACACAATGCTGTGTTTTTAAAACACTTTTGTTTCACAGAGATAGCTTTCCTTCCTCTTTAAAGCTAACCTCCTTTTCCGACTTCTTCAGGAACTGTTTACATGTAGAATCTTAACAATTAAAATATCAAGAAATGCACATTAGCCATATTACTATTTTTCAAAAAATGGAATCCAACTGTCACTTCAAAACAAAATTGTTAATACTACCTAATCAGCAAAATTACGTGGTGCTGATAATGACTGGTTATCTCAAAGAAAAACAGTCATGTGATTTCATTTTAATACTAGCCAATTAGTAACTAATTGCATAATTTAATATTAAGGCCAGCAAGAAATACTTTTCACACAAACTACAGAACAAGACACTACAATTTTCAATTTACTGAATAAACAGGGAGAAAGGACATATTGTCTACAGTCATCACTAATATGCCTCAAGTCTCCCAGAAAGAATTCCAGGACAGTCCTCGCTCCCTACAATACTAGCCCAGAAAGCCTAATTTATCTAAATTTTGGTTGGATTTTTGGACCAACTCTGCATTACTTGGACTACTAGTCCAGCTGCAATCCTCCACTCAACTCAGTAAATGTCTTGAGGTTTTTCAAACCAGACTGATGATCAGAATTACAGACTTGTTACACAGTAAGTATCAGAGTGCAAAAATGCAATTGTATTTGCGTTCTGAAAACCAATAAAATCGAGTGCAGCACATTTTCTTATCTAAGGAGAAAATACAACCAGTAAGTCACAAAGCATAAGCTCCGGTACTGAATGTATCATTCACCAAAAAAAAAAAAATGGACCTGGTCATAGACATATTATGAACCGCAGTACATGGCAAATTTCTTCAAAATACTCTTTTGTCTGTTTTGGGGAACTTTTCCTCTCTTTTAAAAGAATAAAAGTTTAGCACATGGCGTATAACCACACACATGTAAAACAGCTCCCTGAAGGGGGATGACAAAGGAGAATAAAAAAAAAACCACCAAGAAAAATGTAAGATGACTATCGGAGGAGACATGGAAGGAGAGTTTATCCATGAGGCAGAGTGCTCATAAGCAAATGACATATAATAAAAAAAACCAAAAACAAAAAACAGGAGCTGCAGTAGCTAGCTTTTCTTTTTCTTAAATTTTTATTAAAATCTTGAAAATGTGTCCACGACTTTCTGTGTGTGATGTAGGTAAAAGCCACCTTTGCCTCTATGTTACGTCCTCATCATGTCAAAGAATCTCAATCTTCCCAACAAATAAAAGAACAGGTCATTATCAGTGACAGAACAGCCAGAAAGTGATGGCCTCAGCATAGTCTTCTCTGATAGCCAGAGTATATATCCAGGAAAGCAGACAATGCAGGAATGGCACTGCTGTGCTACACCAGTAGGTGAGCAAGAACTCTTGTTTCAGATACATTTAAGGCTAGAACTCAAAGCAAAACTGCACCATCTAGTGTCTAGTCAATCTGTAAGTGCAATTCATCTTTTCCCTGAATTCAAGCTTAGTTCAAGAAAGATTTCTGGTGGAAAATTCATAACTAAGCATGGTAAGAAAACAATGAAGTAAATCTAGGAAGTGTGTGAAAAACCTAAGACAGTAGTAAAGCTTTCAAATATTACCACAGAAACAGAACCATTTTTTGCACAAAGATTCAACAGTCACAATCAGTCTAATTTAGTAGAAAGATTAGTATTTTCTGTATTACTTCACTGCACAGTGACAATCCCAGAAAAACATAAAATGGCCAGTTAATACACAAGTTGACTACTGAAAACGCTCCAGAGACTTAGAGGGATGAAAGTTTAAGATGAACCCCATTCTTCTAAGCTCATCAGAAAAGTACATTTTTTTGGTAAAAAAGCAGATGGCTTCAGCTAAAAGTAGTCCACTTAAGGATGACAGGGAAACGAAATCAAGAAGGATCCACCCCTCAAAGAAAATAAGATAGTCATTAAACAATAAAAAGCTGTAACAAAAAAATCTTCCAAACCTCCCAGAAGAAAATCTTTTAAAGTGCATTAATGCCTTCCACTTCACCGCAAAAAGTTAGTCAAGATTCAGACTACTTTAATTAACCCTTTTTATGTTGCACTTGCAATGGATTGGATGACCGCTTAGCTACTATGCCAGATTTGATGGGAAGTGTTTCTTGGTACAAACGCAAGCTGTTATGATCATGCCAACACAACCTTACTGAAAAACTAAGCAAGCAGTACAACTCAATCACATTTTCAGCCAAACATCCAATGTATACATTAGGATGATATTATTTGGACAGCAGTACTATTCTCCAACAAATGTGGTTTTTACTCCTCAACAAATTTGCTAAATCTTCTAAAACTAGAATGATTAAACAAATCATCTCTTGAACTCATTCAGAAAATCTCTACTTGCTGAAAAGGTTTTATTGCATCTGAAGAATTCATGAATTATTTTCTCAGGTCTAAAACAATTTATCCACACTTGCAACATAACTTTATTCCCTAAAAGTATATAATGTAGATCAGAAAGTTAAATGTTACATTTTCTTACCTTGGTTTATTGTGTGGTAATGCCTTTGCATCAACAGCAAACATTTTGGAAACAAATACAATAACTGGGGCCGTTCCTTCACTACTGCATTTCATAAAAGCTGAAGAAACATAAAAGGAAGTTATTTGCACAATTTTTTCCCCAACAGTGTGGGCAAAACTATGGCTTTCCATGAATTTTATACTGTTTATTTCCTATTTCAATGGATAATAGGCAGAAGACAAATTAACAGGAAAAGTAGAAAATTATGCTAGCCTAATGATTTCATAACACTGCCCATACCTTCAAGTCCGTTTCACAAGAAAATAAAATGAGCAAAATTGTAAAAATAGAACTCTTCATAACAAACTACATGTACTCCAACTCAATGTATTGTTTTGATATTTAACATTGAGTTCATAGGCTGTTTAGATTAGAATGAAAAACGGAGAGCAGCTTAGCATTAAGACCAAGCTATTTGTTCAGTACCTTAGTCTCCCTCCTTTCAAACTAAAGGAGGAAGTCCTGCAAATGTCCAGAGTCTCATGTCTTCATAAAACTGTAACAACTTGACTGCAAGAATGGATACTCCTCAAATGATGAAAGATCCACACAAAACTCATTCAATACTTAGGAATTTCCCATAAACTATTTTTTTCATCCAACTTGGAACTCATTATCAAATCCAAAACAGACACAATACCATTCAAAACTTCTAACATAGAAAACTAATAGTCTTCTCCTACACTTCCCCCTTTTATCTGATATATGAAAAGACTATATCGTGAAGTGTTCAGACAAAAAAAGTGCAAGACTACTAATAAAAATTAGCAAGATATTCACTAAATGTGAAGTATACTATTTTTTCATAACCAAGAGCATTAAGATCCGAGTTTACAGAGGCAAATTTCTTTTAATTAACTTATACTGATACAGTATTGAATACTGTTTGGAGAATACAGTGTTTGTAAATGTTCAGTAAAGGATGAAAATATCAGTTGCCTCACCCCTGGGAAACAACTCCTAACAGCCTGTCAATTTGACATTCACATCTCATCTTAAATTGACATTTGGTATCACATCCCTTTAGGTTTCTTGAAGCTCTCTTCAAAACATTGTTCTATAAACACCTTTCGCTACACATACAGAGTTAAGAAATGTTTTTAACTGTTACTAGCTTAAGCATGGCATCTTCTTGTAATTTTTACTAAACTACCTCTTGAAATATCAGAGAACATTTACTACCTTACAACAAAATGGCATTCTGTTATATTCTGTTCAGTTAGAAAGAATGTTTGCAGAACAACAAAATCATGCATGTAAGGTCTCTTTGTCCCCTACAAACCTATCTGAAAAGATCATTTGGGAACATTCTTTTTCAGACTACCAAATCTGGGGGAAAACCAGGGGGAAAAGCATCACTTGATTTTATATAGAACTTCCCACAGAGGAGATTACCACATATACGTGTAGAAATGCGAGCCTTGCTCACCACTGAGCATTACATCCATATCATCAGTTTCAACTTTGATATTCAATTCCGCTAAATACTTAATTCAGCTTCAGCAGTTCTCATCTGTCTTTCAGGAAAAGACCTCAGTAAAAGTTCCCCTTTCCAAGGCATCACAATGCTTATGAAGGACATACATGAACACAGAGTTTATGTTTATAAACTTATAAACTTATAAATTCAAAGATAGAAAAAGGAATATGAGCATCTTACAAGCTCTCCTGCATCCTCTACACCAAGTTCCTTTTCATTACTGCCTACATAGTTCTTTTACTGTCTATAGCAAAGTTAAATCATTGAACATAGTCTTTCCAATCCCTGTTACAATTTTATAGCACAGGACTTGGTGATTATCAAACTTCCTCTTGCTTGCTTTTGCATATAGACATCCTAATGTTCAACACAACAGAGTCTGAATATACTACTAAGCGCTTCTTGAGAAGGAGCTCTTAGTTAAAGCTGGAAACTGTGCCAGAACTGGACATGAAATCGTGATCTCAATGAAATTGATGGCAAAACTTCAACTAACTTCAAAATATCAGGATTTCTTATCTTCATTTAACATTCTGGGTAACAAAATATATTCGTTGCCCTCAAGGTCTTTTGGCTCTTGTTTTTATTTGCTAGTCTTTTATCATTCTGGAGTATTAGGAAATAACTAAGAAATCAAGTTTTACCTTGAGCTATGGAAATGTTGACGAAATTCTTAATGACAATGTTTGTAGTAACAGCTAAGCTACATATTACTAACTTTTTTTCAGTACACAAACTACTTAGGAATAAATTCAACAAAAAATGTTTTTTATTTTATATTACCAAAAGCTGAGCCTAGTTAATCAACATACTTGTAAAAATGAAATCCAAATTCAAACCCCTACTGGCTAAAAATTAATTATTTTAATATAGAAGTTGGTAAGATATTAAATTCTCAATTACATAACTTCTACTGTTTAGAACTAAAACCAAATATTAGCCTCATATCCTTCCAAAATCCCCAGTTTCAGAGTCTTGGACTTTACATCACCTGTCTAAAAACCATGAATATATGGGACTGAAGAAAAATGTACAGCCATAAAAATAAGACGTAATACCACTGACAAACATCAACAAAGCTACTACAAGTAAAATAATTATAAATCTAAGTAGAGATTACTACACATCTTATGATCCAAAGACAAACAAAACCACCAGGATAGAAACAACCTTCATGTTAATGGGAGAACACCTACTCACCACTTTTCAGTTCCTGAGTTTCTGGTGGCAAAGAATCAAATGTTCTAGCTCCAACACACATCAGCTTTTCCACTCTCTCTGCAGTGATCTCAAGAGGACTGGGAAGTTTATTACACACCATGGCTAAAACACATTGCTAAGGATATATACTTATGTATTTATATTTCCTTACTGAATGCAAATAAAAGGAAGACAAATGCTTTCAATATTTGTTTCTTTAAATCAACCTCATGCGCTAACTGCCAGCAGCAACAGATAGCTAAAATCCAGCTCTGTCTGTCACAGTGCATACAGCTCCCACTCAAGTCAGCAACAACTTCTGGCATTTATCCAAGGGAGAATGGATAGTTAAGTAGGGGTGGCTCACCCTATATGCAACTGGGAAACTAAGAATAGCATAATTGGGGCAAGATTTTAGAACTAATCAGTATTTATACATCAAGAATTTGTGCATACCTACTATAATACAATGCGTATTGTATTATATTATAAACGATGAGAAGATGGTCTACACAGCAGACACAGCAAAGGCTGATCTTGTATTAAGAACGCATGTGCCTAAAACATAACACCAGATACTTACGGAAGTTCATGGACAGAAGAGCTAAGATACTATTATAAACAGGAGATTGGCTTATCCTTCAGGAAAAGCACTAAAATTTGTATATGAAACTACACAATGAAAGTGTATTGTTAAACTACCTCCAGTTTTATAACTTAGTTTCCTAAAAAAAAAAGGGTGCATGCAAAAGCACAAAGTTGGTAGAAATGTAAGGCTAATTGTAGGTATGTAACTTTAATATTACAAGAGAGCAAATAGGTCCAGCTAGCATAGGCACAGACGTGAAAAAAGAGAACAAATCATACCAAACCACACATTGAAATATGTGAGCACTCTTTGAAGTCTGAGAACTGCCAATAGAACAAGAAGTAGTATCTTCTTTAAGGATACAGAGGACTGCATCAGATATTGGTAGCCACTGGCTACAAATGGCATTAAGATGAACTTTAGGGTCTGCATGCCGTGACTCCCGTGCACCAATTTTCAATCCCAAAGAGGTGACTATCTTTTCAATTTTTTCTTTGTCTCTGCAAGGAAAATAACAAATAGATAAAACACCACAGCAGGAATACATTAACAAGCATCTACAACATTTCTTGTTTGAGTATTTAAAAACATCATCATAGCACATGGAAAGAGATTCCATGAAAACTTTACAGATCATCTCACCTTTTCATAACAGCTTCGTACAGACTCCATATGTTGTCCAGCACCAACTGCACGAACAAAGGTTTCTTTCCTTTTGACTGGTAGAACATAGACATACAGCTAATTACCAGCAATTCCTCACTTTTACAATGGGTTTAAGACTTCCCTTTTAACTGACCATTTTCATAAGGAGCATGTAAAACCTTTATTCAAAATCAAAACAGTTACCTGTTTCTACACAAGATCATTACTTCAACAGTCTGTCTTATAGAAATGGTATAAGGTGCAAAATAAATATGAAATTTAAAAGTGAGGGACAAGGGTTTCAAGTTCAGAAAAAGAGCCTGATAAATACAGAACATGTCTACCTTGAGCCTGGTTATCACCCTTTTTACAACTATTAATCCTCACCTATGAAAATACAAAAAAATCATTAAATGAGAACATGAAAGTCCCTTCACCCCTCTTAACTTTTAGTGGTGGAAACACTTAATGCAAGAGAAGTGTAATTTTCAGGCAAGGTTTCAGTATAGCATCAATGGCATCTCATGAAGGCAAAAAAAATTGTCTGAATCCTAAATCCTTAGCTGTTGAAGGACTCTTCAAATAAGAGAGAAACCCTCTCACTACTCTGGTTTCTACATTGTTAGTCTTCCATTCATCTTGTGTGTTTTGTTCTATGCTGAATCCTTGAAGCTGGAATGTCCCTTATTTTGTGAACAGAGACATTTAAGAGCAATTGTGAGCACTGTTAGATGAGATTTCCTCCATGTAGCTTTTAAATGGTCGATTTTGAAATGTTCTTTTCTCCAAAGGCTGATGCAAGGCTATCCTAGTGACTTTATACTTCCACTGATGTTGAATGAAAAGGTACTGAGGTCAATTTTCAGAACACACTATGAAGAATAGAATAAAAAAAACCCAGGTAATATTTCCAACCACCTCCCTACCTGATCACCTTTCATTATCTTCTTTGCTTTTGTATTTAGATAATAATCTCCCCATAAAGTCTTCAGAAGAACTGCAGGCTTGATTCCAATCTTTTGGCTGTACAGTCTGGCAAAATGCTCAATGCTGAAAGGAAACAAAACGCATCTTGATAAGTGTGTAATGCTGTTTACGTGTGCTTATCAGCCTAAGCAATGGACAGCTTACATGAAAATCACACACAAATCTCAAATCCTTGTTTTATTCCCATTTTCCCAATTGGCTTCACTTCAGCTCACGTTGTTTAACATTTATACCTGCAAAAATATTTAGTCATAACAGCTCAAAAGCGTCAGCAGTATTTGTATGGTTTTGTTTTGTTTCAAGTCAGCTTCAAGGCTGAACTTGTTTATTTGAAATTAATATTTGTATACTATCCCTCCAGTAAAGACTCAAAACCATAATACAGGAGTTCTAAATATTTATGTGATGACTCTCAAATTTATTGAGACATGACACAACACATTTAACTATGGTCTGTGACCAGAACAATACAAGTTAAAGATCAGGTATTCTTTTGAGTCATCACATGGTAGCAATTACTTTTCAAATTAACTACTTAGGGCACTTCTTGTTGTTTGAATCATTGCACTAATAATGAGTAAAACCCAGAAAATAATATAAAAACTGTAATGCCAAAATTGCATTATAAAGCCAATCATGTTGTTCAGCGGTCCCCATGAGTTAATGAAAGCAGGCTGCTTGCCACCTAAAGAGGGTGTCCTGAACATTCTACAGTTTCCTTTCTGAAAATGTTCAGTGAGCGGTAATAGAAAAAATTTCCACATATTTGCTCATTGTGCACACAGAAACAAAAATACAGGTTTACAATCAGAACAATCCTATTTACAGAACAATGATATTTGATAATCTGTTCTTTGAAATCCAGAATTCTCAAGTTTCTACACACCCCATAAAAGACCCACTGATGTGAGCAAGACATAAGCTATGAGTTCTGAACTAAGACCAAAAAGGAGATTTTTTTTTTTTTTTTTTTTCCCCAGAAACTACCCCAAACTCTGAACAGGGGAAGAAACTTCACTATATTTGTGCCAGCAGCTCCTGCATATGTATTTATGGCATTCTTTCAACACTTGAGGATTATGAGAAAAGCATATGTACTAATTGCACTGGATGAGGCTGGCACTGCCTAATGGCTTAATTTTTTCTGCCACGACAAGTTGTAGTAACTTTAGGAACAGAACCCACAACCATGTAAGAGCAGTCAAGGTTTGCCCCAATTAAGAATATGCTCCACTGATCCATATTTCACCAGACCATACTGCTGGCAGTCCAGAAGTACCTCTTGAAGCTAATTAAGGAAAATGTTCCTTTTCCCTGCCATTATATGGTTTATCAGAACCAGGGCCCGCCAGTTCATCATAAGAAACAAAGTAGTATCAGAAAGCCAACAATCTTTGTTCAGCTTCACCAAATACATTAAAACATTTTCAAGATGTGAGGAAAAAATGGAGAATTAGGACAGGTACAAATAAGAAACCTAGCACATAGGAGCCCTGTTATTTGTCCAAGCTGTAGGCACTTTTTGTGGGATAGAGAATAGATTAACACAAATTCTTCTACTGTATAATGTATAAAAAGTCTGATCCAGACCCAGCAGCAGAATACTAACATCCCTTGCCTACGTTAGATGCACAGATGTTTTTGGCTGAGACACAATCTTATACTTGGATAGTTCCACTAATATAATCTTTTAAAAGTTCTAATATATAAAGCAGAAGGTGATTAAAATTTGGGGAAATCTTAGCAAACATGGATTTTAGTCTCATATTCAAAACAAGCATTGTAAGTTTAAGTTCATCTTGTATCAGTATAGTATTGGCAAAGAATTAACAGAAAGCCTATCAATCCTCTCTAGTATGCCAGTATACCAATCACAAAAATAAGGGCAGCTCATATGTGGCCCATTTCTTCCCCCCATTTGAAGCTAAATTACAGCCAACATTTAGGTCTCAGCCTTACAGAAACTCTGCAAGTAAGGTTCAAGCCACTTGACAAACATTTCAGGTGGCAGGTACATAGCAAATACAAAGAAACAACTAAAGGTTGACCAGTTATCATTTCAATTCACGTTATCCTAGCATGTATCATTAATCATCTATCACACATTCCACTCTGCAAAAATATCAGTTACTAATATACACCAAGTGCTAAAAGCTTTGGGAAAAAAGTAATTAAAAAAGATGACAATTAACACAAGGTGTTATCTCTGAAAACAACAAATTAGAGACTCTCAAGCCCTAAGCACCGTTTTAGAGAAATTTTCTTCTCCACCTCTCTGTATATACACCAACGTTATTACAAAAGAGATATATAACCTGGAAGTACATCAGTAAAATCCTGTGTCAAACAGTTCAAATTAAAGTATTTTTTGCTATAATTCTGCGCTGGAGAAACAAGTCAATTTTCTGTCACATTTATATGAAATTTAATTCTATCTGCAGAGAAATTACCAGAGAAAAAGAAATCATGAAAGTAAGGTAACTGAATTCTCACTTTTACAAAAATAACCATTATACTCACCTACCATTTAACAACAACATGCTTGCTTTCTCATTTACAAAGGTGATCATAGGGTGTTTATGACCACAGGCTTATATCAGAATGTGGTTCTGTAACCTATAAAATCGTAGTAGTTGATGATTTACTTGCAAATATCAAGTAGCTTGAGCTAAAGAAATAGCTTCTAAATTGCTTTTGAGCTTATAATTCTACTTATTGTAAAAAAAAGTACTCCACTGTATCTTTCTTTAAGAAACATTTTTCTCAATATTTAGCATTGCCTGACAGAATACTTCAAATACTAATACTAAACCTAGGCCACCTTTGAACTTCCCAAAACAAAAACTTAGCTTCCACAGGCTTTGTCAGTATCCAAAACAAAAGTAAGCTGCAAATTGCCCAATCTTTTTCCATACAGGACAAAGAAAGCAGATAGTTCTAAATCATTTCAACATCTGCTAATGAAAACGTTCATATTCCTACTCCAAACTTGAACAAGTTTGTAACAGTTGCATCCTAAACTCTGTATAACAACAGTTTACTACCATAATCCCTTTTTCCCATGGAATTTCAATGAAAAGTTAGAAGTCAGGAAAGCTTAAAGCCTGCAGAAATCTAAATACTGTTTCCCTGCACACCATAAAACAAGAGTGACTTGCCCATGTGGGCACCATATGGGAATGGAGGACTTCAGATAAGATATGTGTTAATGTGCGCATCACCAAAGGTATCAGAAAACTCCCTCTAGCCTTCAGAAATGAAAAGGTCTCCCCTCACACACATCCACTATGAAAAGATCTCTTTCAGACTAAAGAATATTCCAACATGTCAGAATCTGAAGACTTGTTTTCAATTTCCTTTACACCACTTACCCTCCAATTTTTTTTTTTTATAAATCATTATTATTATTCATGGCAGATAATTAAACTAAAATAACCCGTTTTATTTTCCCTTTCCTCAGCAGTGATAAGAAATATTTGTGTTAGACTACAAACTAGACATGGAAACTTATTTAAGAGCTTGACTTTGACTTAAAAATCCTGGAGCTGATTTTTTTTTAAGGTTTTGCAATATTAAAGACATGCACTGTATTACTGAGTGTATCTTTTAAATTATATTTTCATGATGAAGACAACGACTCCACCTTGTGGCAAGCAATAAGAACATGTAATCTTTAGACTAGCCTGCTGTCCTCTGAAACTAAGGACTGAAAACCAGAAATGATCACAAGCTCAAATACAGTAATCCAGAAAATTTTCTAAAATTGTTGTATCCCCAGTTTCTTACGTTTACTTAAATATCTCTGCAATGGTCTTTAGCAACTGCTGAAATAGAAACATAAAGGTATTAGGTAACAAGAAATGCACCTGAATAAAGAACAGAAAAAAAGCAGATTAGAGGCTGATGAGCATAAACACTTCGGAACAAATGCACAATTTCAAGGACAAGTCAAAGTCTGGTGCAGAAAAAACAGATCACAGTAATGCTGTGACCCAGAATTGTACTGGACAGCTGAAGCTACTGCCCTGATGCCAGTTGCCTGCCTTGTTATGAATGTCACTGTCCCTGGAGCTGGAAGGTCCAATCTACTTGTGAAACAGCTCCTGTACTGCCGCAGTTTTTCACCTAGTCTATTACAGCCTATCAAATGTCATCAATTAATAAAATACTAAGTTTATCAAGCTAGGCTGGACACTACAGTGGGCTCAGCAGCTGCTGTGTAAGTAAAACAGGGGTCCCTGTCACATAGATGACAAAGCTGGTAGTGTTTTCAGCTGTCCAGTGTTAATAATATATTAGAACTGATTATATACAGTTGCTATCACAGAAAAATATAAAAAACATCTTTAGAAATATGAAGCAACTGAAAATACTTTAAAATTAATTGCAGTAACCAATTAAAAAAAAAAAAGACAGTAACTAAATCCCAGACTTACCCAAAACCCCAACCATCAATTGCGCTGGCAAACACCACATTTCCATGGTCTGGTGAAAAATAAAGATGTGAATCATCAGTATCTTCCAATCCAGCACTCCAGTCATAAATTTGATCTCCTGGCGCAGTGTCTGAAATACTTTCACTTTCCGTTTCTTTCTCAGCTCTTTCTTCTAAGACTTTAGAGGTAAAGAGTGCTCCAGTGACTGCATTGATCTACAGAAGGATATGTAAAAACACCCTAAGATTCGTTCACTTTTTCACAACCCTTGCAATTCAAATGCAATTCCCCCACCCTCCAAAATATGAGATTTTTTTTTAAACAAGATAGCATGCCTGTGATTCATTTTGCAATTTAAAACGCAAACCTTATGTATCTAATCCTGCCCATTCGAAGACAACAGGAGTTTGATGAAACTAACATTTCAACTTAAACACCCTGTACTTTCCAAGTCAGTCAGCCACATCGGGATCGAATATAGAGTATCATGTGTACTACACTTTGTTTCTCAGAACAAGGCATGGTGAAATAGGAACTTGTTACTGCCAACAAACAAACAACAAAGAAGGGCAAAGGGAAACCAGGTGGAGAAATGCTTAAAAGTAAGCTCTGGGCAAAATAAAAAGTTTGAAGGCAACTTAACTTACAACTTAAAAGATTAATTCACTTTATCCCTGCATAAATCCATCAATATCAGGAGCACTCTAAAGATCCTATCTGTCTACCTCCAAAGAAGTTTAAGCAATTTAACAGGAAGACTAACACATTCAGCATATTATTTCTAAAAACGAAGACTCCTCCTGATGACCTATTAAGAGGCGTTTAATACTCTTTTCTCTATCACAGGCATTCTGACTGAACCTGAAAACGAACTAGAAATAAAACGTATCTCAATGTTAAAAATTAGACTAGATGTTATAGTGCTTGATCCCACAAAGTAAGGAAAAAAAATGGTTCTGCTGCTCTAAACTTATTACAGCTACAAGGCAGTGAAAATTACAGTCTCTCTCAGTTCAAGAATGGAGAAAAGGGGGAAGGAAAAAACCTCAACAAGATCTACTGTGTAAACATGACACTTTAGCATGAATACCTGTTCTAAGATATTCTTAAGGTGCAAGTATGCTTCCTGAGGGGTGAGCTTGAGTTCCACAATCAAGCGATCGATTTTATTAATCACCAATACTGGGCGTATATTTTCTAGCCATGCTTGCCGTAGAACTGCTTGAGTCTATTAAGAAGGAAATGGTTAAAAAAAATACATTACAGAAAGTTTGACACCACTGAAGAGAATGTTAATGACAATATAATTCTAAAATTTAGTTGAACATATAATAAACGACAGGTTGACATTCAAACCAGAAATCTGACCCTCACAGTACCTAGTGTTAGTTATTACAGAATTCTGCAGAATGGCAGAATTCCATGGCAAAAACACCCACAACAACAAAAAAAAAACCCCTCTTTATAAACATAAGCCATGAAAAAAAGCAATCTCAATGTTATTTTGCATATTTTTTCACTTTCAATACCCTAAAAGCACATGTAAAGATACTAAATTTTTTCCTTTAAGACGTTTATTTCTTCTCTACACAAATATTCCATTACCTGAAAAATTGCATACTCACTGTTTCAACACTACACCCACTCACCAGCATTGCTCAGATTTTCAGCACAACTATGAAACTAACTACCCTCTTTCATATCTCAAGTACATTGTAATTTATTAAAAGTTTTGTAAAACTTCTTAAACCAGCTCATCTTTCACTGCTACATAAACACTTAAGACTTTGCTTACTCTGTCTTCTCTACCCTCTTTCTCTATTTAATATACTTTATTTCACCTGTGGACAGACTCCTTCAACAGCATCCACCACTATGATACAACCATCACAGAGTCGGACAGCAGTAGATACTTCTGAAGAAAAATCCACGTGCCCTGGGGAGTCTATTAAATTAATCAGATACTCCTGATCACCTAGGATCAAACAATAAATTAATATTTCAGAACAGTTTTCAAAAATATTTCTTTCAGCCACACGGTTATACTGCTTAAGCTATTATTAATTTCTAAGGACCCAATCAGCAGTAACCATTATGCTTGAGAAAAACTCCAATAGGACAGGAAGACTGTCAGCAGCATAACATCTAGTGGCTTGTGCCTAACTGGTTTTTATTTCACTCTTAATGCCAATCTTCATCTTTCAATGCCCAACTACCTGCAGAAAATTAAAACCAAAAACACACCAGCCAACCAAACAAAAAGAAAAACCCTAACCCTGAACAAGCTTGTAGTAGCATTACAGAGATCACTAGCTAAAAGACCAATCAACTGCATTACAGTCTGCATTTTAAAGATAAATCCTGACAGACTGTCATAAAAATAAAGCCTACATTCTTGATGAAACACCTCATTTCAACATTGTGGTTTTTTTAAAACACGCTTTTGACTCCATATTACTAAAATATTTTCAATCTATCCATAAAGGAGAAGTTTTCAGTATTTTCTACACTACTCCCCCAAAAAATTCTGCTTAGTAGAGACTCCAGGCAACTTTTGATGAACTCCGGGCATTTATCATCAGCCATAATCAAAATAAGATCAAATGACTTTCTTGTTTAAGAAGTCATATTAGAGTCTAAATTTCAATACAACAGAAAAACAACTGACATAAAAGGCTCTAACCATTAAAAGTAAGGTCATTTCGGAGTCAACAATAGAACAGCCACATTTTACAATACTTAGCTGGAAGATCCTTGATTTCAACTATTTTTTATAATCAGCTGTAGCTGAAATGGAAAGAGTAATGGTGGCTTTTCTGTTCATGCAATTTGTCTGTTGTTCTTTTTTCTGCACAAGCCCGTTAGTAATGTATTTCATGGTTTCCATTCATCTAGCTGAGGATAAGACTGGTGAGGAACATGGAGTCACAACAAAGACAAGACTGTAACTACACTATAAAAAAGCCCTCTGAACAATTTATAGCAGAGTATAACAGGCACCTCGACATAAAAGTATAGTAAAGATAAGACTGTACAAAATCATTTAAAAACTCATTGGTTTTTTGAAAGAAGATCTTGCCTTTTGGTGACATTATTTCAAGTCTTAAGGTCAAAATATAAAGATTTAGATCTAAAATAAAAAGATAAAGGCAACTATTCTAATTGCCTCCACGCAGAGATACAATTGAAGATGGGTTTGCTAATCCTGAGATGGAACTTGATTATCTTAGTTAATAGTTGAATACATGCCTAAGTCTTTGCAGAATCATGGCCTAACACTGAGAAACACAAAAGTAAAAGTTACATACAAAAAATCTCAACAGCAACAATGAAGAGACAGGGAAAATTAACAAAAATATATATTAAAGTTTACACTTGCCAGCATCAACAACTTACCTTTCACAAAGTGCAGTGAAATTGCACTAGATTTCATTGTTATTCCTCGGATCTGTTCATCTTCTCTACTGTCTAAATATCTCAGCTGAGTACAAAAACAAAAGAAGAAATGATAAATCTGTAGAATTATCTCCACAAGTTACTTATCAACTGTCAAAGAGTATGACTGCAAGAAAATGAGGTTTAGCAAGACTAGGAATGTAATTTCCTTAACCATCGCTGATTTATGATCCCAGCACATACACACCAGAATTTTGTTAAAAAAGACAGTATAACTCTACCTTTCCTGCCAAGCGGCTAGAGATTATTCCATTGCTAGATATTAGACAGTCAGCTAGAGTAGTTTTGCCTGAAAAGAAAAATAAATTACTTAGTTTAAATTAATACAGGCAATGAAAAAAGATGCAACAATATTATAAATGCTGACAACATCTAGTGTTTGGAGATGTCAACATTAATAAAGGCTTTAAAATGCCACAAAAAGGACAAACTAACTTTAAAAAAAACCAATCCGTTTATGCAACTTCACCTGTTAGGTACACACAAATTTATTTTTGAAGAGTGGATGCAATGTTACCTGTCATGACCAGAAAACCAGATGAAATAACAAACAGTACCTCAGAACCTCAATATATCATGCAATTAAACAAAAGATTTGTGTCCTAAAATGAGCGTTTATTATTTCCACCTACGTAACATTCTTCCATTAAGTAAACACAGAGATACAACAGCCTACCTCATACATGCATATATCTAATTCATGCCAACATTTAGCAACACAAAAGTGGAAAAGGTTCAGTTTCAACTATTCCAAATTATTAGAGCGTACTGCTCTCTTAAGTCCTAAAGGATAAGCTGCACCAGGGCAAAAGAAATGTGCATAGAACAAATTTACTTCTCAGAATCGGGATTAAGACACTTTAAAGGTAAATCTGTGAAAAACTACTGCTTTAAAACAGTGACCAAAATATCTCACCATCATTCAAACTAACACACACACACACGTTTTCCTCACAAGGTCTCTGCCAGTTACCAGCACGTGTCTTACCATGATCCACGTGGGCTAATATACAGATATTCCTGATTCCAGAAGTCTTCTTCTGGAGGCCAACCATCTTTCCCACGCTTGTGAGGACCATGGTTAGCTAGTTCTGTGAACAGAGGAAAGAATTTTATTTAGGAGGCAACTTAAGAAACAGCTTTTGTTGTTGTTGTTGTTTTTTAATTATGTAAGTTGTGATGAGAGCTACCGGTCAGGGGCGCCTCACACGTGGAGCGCGTCACGTTCCTCAGCCACCACTCGTACTACACCTCGGCTACCAGAAAGTCACAAAACACGGGGCACGCTTCTGCCTTTAACAAGAACCAGGGGGTTGGGCTTTTTTGGCAGTTTTTCCTTCCGTACGAGCGCTGAGCCGCCTCGGCTCTCCGCACCCGAAGGTGTCCCGGAGAGCCACGA